AATTTTAAACTCGCGAGATGCTTGTGGACGCGATGTATAAGCGTCCAATACCACGCCGCTCGCGTGATATTTGCGGCGAATTCGCTCCTTCTGGACAAGTACTTATGTTTTTACAGTATTATAATAACAACTCCTTAATATTGATTGTAATTAATATTATGATGTTTTATTCATTTATTTTAGTGAATTTTTTTTTGAGAGAGTTCAAGAAATTTCTAAAAAACATTCAAATAAATTTGTGCAATCAATTTAATCTTAATGGCAATCTTAAGGGAACGGTTGTACATGGGTGTCGTCGCTGTCACGCGGGTTCATAGACATCTATCTATAAATGTGTCTGAGGGCGGGCACATAGCTCTCGAATGAAGCCGTTGCTACTCTAAACAGAAAAGAAGCTCTACGGAATCTCACGAAAGCACTGAATATGTTAACACGAGTGACCTTTCATACAATGCTACACCGAAGTCGTCAGACTTCTATGTATGTATTCGCTTATGAATATTTTTATAAGGAACATTACAAAACTTAAGCGCCACTGACCTCGCCTTTACCTTATGATATTGTACAGTAGGTGGAATCTGTATCATAATAACATAATCTCAGTACAGAGCACTAAAAAAACCGACCTCAAAAGTAAGTGGAATTACGTCTATTTGCTAAGTTTTATTGAAATATCCCCTAGTTCGCCACTATACAGGACTTGACACTGGAGATAATAAAAATAGGTTCTCACTACGACACTACTCAAAGTATATTGAGAGAAAAACGCCTTGAATTGGAGAAATAGCAAAATCAACCATTAAAGTAATTGCTCCTAAATTAAAGTTAGGCGCTATTTATAAAAATGAATATTCATGCGTTAACAGCCACCCTTCGAGGTGGATGATTTTCTTCAAAATGAAATGGGACCACTATGGAAGTACCCCCTTTCCAACAAAAAAAGAGTCATGAAAATCGGTTCACAAATACCGGAGTTATCGCGTAACATACATACAAAAAAAAAGAACATACAGTCGAATTGAGAACCTCCTCCTTTTTTGAAGTCGGTTAAAAAGGTTTTTACTTAGTATTAGAGCTTCTTGTGAAAGAGTTCGTCCTTAAGTCTCGATTACTATCAAAATCGTTGTCGCCAAAACTCGTTCTAACTAATGATCGATAATAGTTTCTTCTCTAAATATAATTTAAACTTTAGCCAGGTGGCATATCGTTTAAAGTTCAAAACCTATTATTTCAAGTTACGACGTTTTACGAAATTTCATTCAATGTGCTGCCATGTAGCGGCAATATCGAAAGATTGTAAGACGACGAATGATTAACATTGTCCAGGCAACTTTAAAAAACCAGACATCCCAGGAAAACAAGGAACAAAATAGAAATACGGCCAAAACAACGCCCCACCTTGGAATTTTACAATAGAACGATGTTTATATTGGCACCTAAATTATTTAATAAAATACCAGACGCAGTTAAAGAACTAAATTGTAGGCAATTTAAAATAAAATTACATAATTTGTTAGTTACACAATGCTACTACAATATAAATGATTTTTAATTGATAACATAAAATGTAAAATTTAACCACTGTGCGTGATTGAAATAAGAATTGTGTAAAATATTCGCATGCCAAGTTTTGGTGAAATGTACGATCTAATAATAATATACTATAACACCATTGTAAACTACATTTTTCTAATGCGAATAAATATCTTGTATTCTTATATTCTTGTATTCTTGTCCAAAAAAAAAGTGGAGATGTTGCAGCGGTTTACTACAGTTTCTTATTACAAAAAATCTATTACGGTGAACAGGAAGTAAAAAAATTATTAGAATAAAATAAAATAAGACTTAATGAAGAAACACCACAGTGGATAATATTACAGGTGCGATTACATTATCATCATTTTTGCACTACAAAATGCCAAATAAGGCATTTTACAAAGGGAACATGGTGAACCGGCACACGTGTCACGCTGACTAAGCTCCTCTGCTCTATATACTGTTCTATGTTCTAGTGTGTACGCGTGAAACACGCTATGATTTTTGGTAACATAACATGCACCGATTTCTGTTACAGCTCGCTAGTGTGGCTTAATATACCGAAATGATCGTAAAATTTGACATCACCCAAAACTCACACAGTAGGTATACCATTATCTTAATTATTAATTAGTAATTTGGTTGCAAAGACCGTACAAGACTTGTTCAAGGCTGACCTTTACTAAAACTTATGTATATTAAACACCCTTATAGACCTGAAAGACAACCTATTTACAAACCGCCCGTGCTATAATTTACCCCGGCAACCAGATTCAGCTAATAATTCCAGACAGGTCATAAATCTCACACAGATACACCCTTTAACCTAGCTTTTTACCCAAAGGCCATTCCCGGCCTATTAATGAAGGGCGAAATTGGATTTATTAGAATAACTTTAACGGATGTTATTAGGAACATTAACGAAATGTTATTTGCTTTTCGACCTAATGGATATTTCGATTTTTTTCGTAAGTTGAGGAATGTCTCTGAATAATTACACTTACTACACACGCACCGGCGGCACATATGGAGGAACTAAGAAGTGAGAATTGAAAATAATAACATTTATATTATAATAATAACAACGCTCACAATCAACATAGCCCCGCGCTAGGGAAACCCTGTGTCGCGGGTGCCATGGACACACACATAGACAACCACAAATTACACCCAAACTCACGAGAGAAATAAATATAGGCCATATAAATATTTCTCCCGGCCCGGGAATCGAACCTCGGACCTCTGCGTGGCAGTCCGGCATGGTAACCGTTCGGCCACGGAGGCAGTTAATATAGACAGGTAATATTGAAATAAATAAGAATAAGGAATAAAAACGTCGGTTTGTTTGAAAAAACAAAATATACGCGATTTAAATCCGGAAAAATAGTTTCATTTCCTATGTATAACAATCGCGAAAACCTAAGAACTCGATAAATAAGGAATAAACTAGCAATTAAAGTAACATCGTTTAACATCGATTATGTGCAGCCTCGGTCAGCCTCTATTGGAAAAAAAATTACAGAGCCACATGGGGTCACCAAGTGTTTCTACAACACGTGACGGGTTACACTAAATGCATTTTTTTTTAATTCTGTGACAAAACAGAAACAACTAAATATATAAAAATTGTAACAGTTTAACATAGGTTAAAGCAAATTTTTAATAAATAAAAAAAAAATTCACAACTAAGCTACGAAATTTAAAAGAATGCAAAATAAACTTCAAAGCACTCGGAAGCTAAAAGAAAGGAATGAAAAAAATCTAAAACGTGATATTCAAATTAGACGTAAAATAAAAAGTTACACGATGATGAAATTTTCTTCAAATTTAAGTGTGACCACTACTGAGGTTCTCAAACGCCGGAGTTATCGCATAACATACATAAGAAAACACACAGTCGAATTGAGCTCATCCTCCTTTTTTTTGAAGTCGGTTAAAACACTACATTATATTGCGGATTGAACTAAGATCCGCTAAATGTACGGGTGTGTGTATAATTGTTTTAAGTTATGACAATTAGTTTTAAATGGTGCTTTTTTTAGTTCTAAATCAAAATTGTATTGCCTATTGTACTCGGTATTTTTATTAACTATGGCGACAGCTGTTCTGATAGTAATGGAAACTTAAGTACTTCCATTGTTTTTTGTACCGTATTATAGTTCATTTCCCAAATTAAACAGCGCTTTAGATCGTGCCTATTTAGTACCTATACATAGTAAAGGGTATTTTGTTAGCACTAGTGGTTGCACCCAGAGCTGCATCCTAACTAGAGTCGATTGGAGTCATACTACGTGTCGTCGAGGAGAGACTTTCGAGCACATTCTAAACTATATGTACCAGATAATCACACCAATTGCTTGGTCTCAAACTAGGGAATGTAATTTCCTGTACTATGAGTACCAAAGCAGCAGAATTTACACTTCCCAAGCGTCCACACCAGAACCAATTTAAAAAAGTTCATTTCCTAAATTGGTCCTACCAGGAATCGAACCCAGATCCTCCTCATTAAGCGCCACTGAGGTCATCGTATACTTTGTACGCCACAAGGCGGAGCCCAGTGATTGAAAATGCATTCTTCTAATGCTCTCATAGTATGTGCAGGGCTCCATCCCTCGCTCAAGGTTACACAATAACTGCCTATCGCCGAGTGTACCGACGTCGGCACAAGCGCTCATTCAAGCTCCGCACGATTTCACAGGGCGGGCAACATTATTTTTACCTCTCTGAGCGTGTGCGTAGGTCCTTTTTCTTCGTAGTGAGCGCTATAAGTCAGATTTAGTAGGCTTATTATAGCCTAGGTATTTTCCATTTTGTATGAGAGTGATGTATCTGTTACGTGATTAGTATTAAGTATATAAAATGAATTTGAAGAAGTCCCGGGGGACATCCTCATCCAGTACTTACAGTGCAAACCGTTGGGCCACTGACGTCGTCGACATAAACAACAATTGAAGATAAACTGGGAACTACGTTTTACTACACTACCTGCAATTCCAGCATACCAGCGCCACGACCTAGTTTATGGCTGTGGCATAGATAAGGTGAATGAGGTCCTTTACGTACGCCACAACATCACAAATTACAGCACAAATTGTTTTATATTTTGTTTATAGCTTTTTGTCTGTTCTGTTTTACTTTGTTGTTTTTTTTATCGTATTTTATATTTTGATTTTAATTCTTTCTATTTTGTTTTGTTTGTCTGGGTGGTTACATAGCGCGACTTTTAGCATCGATACAAATGCGCGACTGTATCGCGACAAACGCGTGATTACATCGACGCAATGGCCTGTAAATCCCAAGTGTAGCGATGGAATAGCGTGTTTGTATCAATGCAGTAGTGGCGCGCTTGCATCGCTGTTAAAAGTGACCGTGTGTAACCTCTCTAAGTATTATTATTAATTTCTTATTTGTATATATACGTTGTGTGTCTATATTATGGAAAGAAATGTAGTTTTCAAACTCACCGAAAACAATGACGAAAGTCATCTTCACAGTCTTGATCTTGGCCTTGGGGATGATGCCGCGGCTGCTCGCGCGCCTGCTGTCCAGGTCATCACTGTCTGTGTGATTATAATTAAATATTAACTTCAATTAACAAATTTCAATTGAATACACTTGGAAACAAAACAACACGTTGATAAGTTAGAACTACATTGTCCTCTTTACTACGCAACTTACACCATTGACAGTAAAAGTGTTCCATACAGTACGTTTCAGAATTTCGATGTAAAATTGAAATTGATGATTTGAGGTACAATATGTATCGTCGGTATCGAAATGGCAGGTGTACTCATATTGACACAATTTCATTGCAATGAAGATACAATTGATAGGTACAAATGACTAGATAAGCCACTTGATGGGAGGTGTTTATCGTGACCCATGGACATTTGTAACATCAGTTGCCTATGCGTTGCCAGCATTTGAGAGCCCTGTTGACTCGCTAAATAATTCCACGTCGCAGTGCAAAGGAAATACGTTACAAGGTAGACCATTCCACCAAGGGGATGCCGGCTCGATATATATATATATTTCTGGGGAGCACACGCATCTGGGGTCATCGCAGCATCTGAACAGAGGGAAGTACGCGGCGTTCCCGCCGTGATCAGTCCACGCCTGAGTAAGCCAGTAGGATACGCCAATTTTTCCGATAACTCGGTACGCCTGACGTATCTTCGGAAAAACAGCTTGGTGTTGCTGGCTTTTGCGGACGCCGAATACTCCTCTTGCCAGCTTGCTTGATATTGCCAGATTGATATTAGAATACCAGGTAATAGTCCGGAGTGTACATTAACTTGGTACATATAAATTTAACTGTCTTACAAAAAAAACATGCGGTACACCTAAGGATAGGAGGTCCTGGTCCGGAAATCGGAGGCAGTAATATTATATGTATTTGCGTCGCATGTACTTTGGTGGCAAGGATTATTGGGATGTGATCTGATCACCATATGGTACTGGCAGAAAAATATCGTTGTTGATTTCACGGTCTACAGTATTGATTCTGAGTCAGTGCCATTTCAGTACAAACTGTTGCGAGTGGGTATTCTACACGGCGTATTTTATACGCGCCGACGACGCGCGTTTACGACGGCGCCGTAGAGTCTCAAAAATCAGATTGTTGCGTTTGTATCGATTCCAACACGCGTAAACTTCGCGTTGCTAACAAGAAGCCTATGGAACATCCACTGGAGTCTAGGTACAATTAGAATTTCACGTTAAAGAAAACTTTTGCTGCTATTTTCATCCTTTTCACACTTCGTTGTTGGTGCAATGCATGCAAAACAAACACCCAAAAATGAATAGTAATAATTTAGTACAGTTACTAAATTATTTTAGGATACGTTGGAATGCCGCAGTGTGCGTGCTTTTATATTGTTTTAGTTGGTTCATTTTAAAAACTAAACGAAATTAACAAACAAACCTAAATCTCTTATTAAAACACGCGATGCATACGCGCGACTACGGTGCGTATACGCGCAGATGACATTGCGTTTGAATCGCGTTAACGCGCGTCACCTGCGCATATAAAATATGCCGTGTGCTTTAAAATTTGTTATTCTCTGCATACATGTGTTTGTGTCAACGTGTACTAATTTATGTCCTATGTGCTTTTGTGTTAATCCATGTGAAGTGATTGTAAATATTTGTTTCTGTTAGTGTTTGTGCTGAATAAACATTTAACCTATCTACCTATGTAACACACAATAGAAGAACTTTTAAATGATAAATATGTAATATTCTTGAATTAGATCTTACATAAGCACTATCTAATTAGCACATAGCACAAGTTCATTATTTTATTACAACTTTTTTATTTTATTTTTAAAGTTAGTGTTTTTTTAAGTACTAAGATAATTTTTTAACCGACTTCAAAAAAAAGGAGGAAGTTCTCTATTCGACTGTGTTTTTTTTGTATGTATGTTACAAGTTAACTCCGGTATCTGTGAACCAATTGCCATGATTCTTTTAGTTGGAAAGAAGGTACCTCCATATGGTCCCACTTGATTTTGAAGAAAATCATCCACCTCTAAGGGAGCTGTTCACGCATGAAGATTCATTTTTATAAATATCGCTTAAATTATAATATAATGAGCAATTATTTTAATGGTTGATTTCGCTATTCTTTAATTCAAGGCGTTTTTCTCTCAATACACTTTGATTAGTGAGAACCGATTTTTATTATCTCCTGTGTCAAGTCCCGTCTAGTGGCGAACTAGGGGATGAATCCGGGTTTGCGCACTTTCCGGTAACCGATTTCAATAAAACTTGGTAATTATATGCAATTCCACGTACTTTTGAGGTCGGTTTTTTAGTACTCTGTACTGAGATTATTTTAAAACAGTTTGTTACTTAACAAAGGTGCATATGATTTATATTATATTTTAACTTTACATGTTTGCTAAAAATATTAATAAAAATACTTTACCACATTATTTTACTTGAGATGTAACACAATAAAAAAAAAACAAAAACAGCCAAGTCAAATGGATATATAACTAAGCTGCCGAGGAGTACATAGCCCTCAGTGCCGTAGTACATAATGTATGAACTCAGAATAATAAATACAGTAGAAGTGGTTAGTTAGCGTCTGACGCGTACCAACTATAGATCTCGAAAGACCTATCTAAGGTCAGTCCGCCATTTGCGCTTTGTATGGTATGGTTGGGTCATTCTTTCGTGCAAATTCTCTAAAATCCTACAAAAATACCTCATTGTGCTGTATTGGAGTGCAAAAATGATACCCGCATCAAAAATATTACTCGTGGTGGAGATCATCGGAAAATCTTAAACTTTTTGTATATCGAAATATTTTTTTTGTTACAAGAAACGAAAGAAAAGCTTATTATTATTATTATTTTATTAACTTACCCCTGCGTTATCGCTTCTTTTTTGGAGAACTAGATTAATAACTCCAATTCGTCGTCGTTCAGCAATTAACCGCTAGATGGCAGTACATTGATTGAAATTTCAATATATTATCAAAACGTTGTTACTTGCAATGATAGGTATTGACAGTATTAAATTTTCAACGATATGCCAACAAGGTAAAGTTTAAATTATCCAGAATTTTGTTATTTCTTTTTAAATTTGAAACTACGACCAATCAATATCAAGATTTTGTAGTGTTTCAAATTAAGTATGTGTGAGTTTTGGTGACATCGGTTCTGATAGTAATCGAGGCTTAGGGCACTTCCATAATTTTTTTCTTCTGTGGTATGAACGCACCAAAAAAGACACACCAATAAAAATGGCACAAAGGAAATATAAACAAAATACGTAATATATTCAAGAGCGACAACATACATCAAATGTAACCAGCATCAACATCCCGTGATTGCTTGTCAAACAAGCACTGTGAACATTTACTTGGCGGTGATTATTATATTGCTATGTCTATATTCATCCTTACGATTGTACTTTGCGCGAAAGCTGATTGTGAGTTGACTTTGTACGATGGATTGTATACCGTACATTATTCAACGACTTCCATAAATAAACAAACACCCAACAATGACAATAATTTATGTTATATAGTAGCCGTGGAGTTTCTTGCGTGTTCGTGTAGGGAAGTACTGCTGTTTTCAAGGGTACTTGCTAGTGAAACGGGATTTGTGAAGTTATACCACAGGACGACTGGCGCAGTGGTAATGCGCATCAGATCTTTGGTATTTAAAACTCTGAGTGGACTGCAACTGTTATACAGGGTGACCACTTTTGTTTCTTGGGACCTATTAATCTTCAACTGCCGTTCCCTGGTTTATTCACTTACTGAAATTGAGTACTACATTACAATACTACATTTTTTTTGACACTGACACTGCACTTGTCCACTGATGGTCTTAACTACGCCACCGAATGAAAGGGCGAACTGAAGGCTCGTAATCCGTTAAAAATAAACTAAAACTAAACTCAAAATTATACAAAATTATGAATCTCTTATACCAACCTCGTTGCCATAATGTAATTTGTAAGAATAACTGCTTCAACATGTGTATTATTACTCGTATTTACAATAAATTACCAAACGAAATTAAATTGTTACAAGGACATACTTTTAAATTAAAATTGACAAAATGGCTTTTGACACATTGCTTCTATAGTAATAAAGAATACTTAGAATTTACAAATTCATTACATTAATCAGAAACTATAGAGACCAAAGAAACATTGAATCTCATTAATATTTGCACATCTGCTTGCAGGTTGAATACAATGTACCTAATTTTACTTAAGACCTTTGTAATTACTGTATTCTGGCAAATAAATGTATTCTATTCTATTCTATTCAAAAATAAGAAGCGGGCCTGATAGAGCTCAAGTGATTGCATCTATTATTGCAGTCATAGCTTTATTTAGACCGCAAAGATCAGAAGGGCACTGCCATTGCGCCCGTCACCCTGAGACTTAAATTGACAAGTGCCATAATGTGCCTGTAATTCCATCAGCACCCTTACCTTCATAACCGGAACGCAGTTATGTTCACGTTACTGCTTGGGACAGACATAGCAGTACATACCTGGAAAACCTCTTTCACAAGGAGCTCTACTGCTACTAAATACATATAGGCTTCAACTAATAATATCTCTGATGTTAGTTGATATATGGAAAAATTAACTTCAAATTTATTTTAAGCAAGTTTATTGAGTCTATTGAAGCAAAAAAGCAACGCGTCAAATCACATTTTAAATCTACACCTACTGCTACAAGTAATCTATTACCCAAGGCCAAACTAAATGTGTCTCCTTTATACCCTAATGACACACAACAATCCTATGTCATCATCACTCTGTTGTCATTCCCAGCACGTCTCTACTAATTCGGCTCTATTCTTTCGCATCACTCCCCCCCATCAATTTGATGCCCAGTGGACACACGAGCTATTGAAAGGAAAAATTAGTTCTGTTATTCGTTCAATGTCGCTTTAACTTCTCGACCGAAAGGGATTCCATTTGGAACGGCATGTTTTGCAATATCTCTTCGAATTGCTTGCCGATTCCCGGATAGCAAGGTATAAATAAAACCTTCTTTGTTCTCGTCATTATATACGTTATAATAACAATTACACACTAAAGTTTTTTTAACTTTGGAGGAAACAACTTAATTGGTGTTAGGATTCCATGTACAGAACCCACCTGGGTAGAGAGAAATTGATAAGGTATCTATTGGGAATGATAATATTTTTTCGGATCTTTCACTTCCAGATCAAATAAAAGAGGAATCAGAAATGAGGACATCCGCAAAGAAACCGAAGAAACTGACAAAGCCCAAAGAATTGTACAACTTAACTGGCAGAAAGCGAGGTGTATTGCTCTTGGAACAGATGACGCTAAAAATTCTCGAGTGGCGTACCACAAGGTGGACCAATGACATAATGAAGTTTGCGGGAATCCGCTGGGTGCAATAAATTGCAGATGTACAGCAATGTACAGTGTGCTTATAATAAAGTCATTGTTACCCGTGCCGTACATCGAGTGAACCTACGCGCTATCATATTAGCTCTCATTGCTAATGCTCTACGTTCCCTTTCAATATCCGCGTCATCACGCAGATCGTCGGTTACTAAGTAATCAAGGTATTTGAAAGAGGTCACCCTATTCTGTCGTGGAACGTTAAGAATGATGGGAGAGACAAGTGAAGAGCACTTGTTTCCCGTCTTAAAAACCATATCGACCCTGGAGCCATATTGTGAGCTTAGAAGCTCGCATATCGGATGCTATGTAAACAGGGTCTGCTTTAATAATGTGTGGCTAAGCCCATCTGTTGTCGGCTCAAGAGTACTTATAGGCATATGCGAATCGTAAGCTATGAAACATAAACTTAGATATAATGTGCTTAAAAGCGAAAACGAATGTTACAGAAATGCGATATAAAGTAATTTTTTGAAGAAAAAATCACACCTAATTTTATTCGTTACAGGTAAAACTAAAACTTTCTAGTTTTCCATATAACAAATAAAAGTAGAATTATGATTTTTTTTCGGAAAAATTACGTTAAACCACTTTCCTGTAATATTTTCTAAATGCACGTTAAACATTTTACCTTTCCAGTGTCCATATATTCGCTTTTGAGCACATTATATCTAAGATTATGTTTCATGGCCTGCGATTCGCATATGCTTATAAGTACTTTTAAGCCGCCAACAGATGGGCTCAGCAATATCATGTCGTCGGCCTAACTTGTTATTCGAGCAGACCTTATCTACATGGCACCCGACATTCGTGCTTCTAAGCTCACAATAAATGACATACTTATTATATAATACAAAAACAATCCCCACTAGCAAATTAAAAATATAAACTATATACGTACTAGGTACATATTTCATAAGGCAATACCTTAGGAATGGATGAAATAATGGATAAAAATTTTCGTTTTTAAGAAAAATTATGTGACGGGACGATAAGTCGTGCGTCTGATGGTAAGTGACACGCCTGTCCAAAACAGTTCTAGTACCAGTCAAAGATCTGAGGGGCATTGCCACTGTGTCCGACGCCCTGAGACATAAGTTGACAAGTCCCATGCGCCTGTAATTTCACCAGCACCCTTACCCTTCCAAACCAGAACGCAGTAATGCTCATATTACTGCTTGGCGGCAGAAGTAGGTAAGGTGACATCTCCCCATTGTGATAAATACGGACTAAACACTCCTTAAATCCATGCCCAGCAATAGGACGTATAAATGGGTTGAAAATGGTGATGGTTCATGGACGCAGCACATTTTTGGCCTTTTTAGATACCCTATCATAAAACTTATCACGTCTTAAAATTTCAACTTTATTACTTGTTTCGTCTGAAGTTTTATGACCGAGTTGGGTATTCTTTCGAGATTTCGAAACAAGCCAGCGCAAAATGAGGGTAGATTGGAAAACTTGTATAGTCATTGCGGCCAAGTTATGAGCTGTAAAACGGTCATAAGTCGAATTTTCTCATATCACTGTTATGTATCAAACTTAACGTTGACTGAATATCTACTTTACGGACCAATTAAGTTTATGTAATAAATTTTCAGTAAAATGCAACTCTTTCAACTGAAACAGGAGGTCTACCACGAAATACGAAGCAACGATGATCGTTTTAGCTTCGTATCGGACCGAAGGTGACCACGAAACGCGTACGAAGATCGTGATTTGATATAAGTCCTTACCCGAGACGTCTGATGACAGCTTACCTATCGAATTTTGCCATTACTTTCAACAATGACGGTACCACAAACACAAAAGTTAGATTTTTTACATACACTCGAACCCAGGACCATGAAAACTGGAACCACTCGCCCACGGAGATCGTTTAGTAGTAGTAAGCTGGTATTCTACAAATACATAAGGTTCACAAGCCTTGGAAAACGAGTGAAACCACCAACTCGCACAAGGACAGCATGGAGGACTGTAGCTTAAACCATCTCCTTTGAGGAGACCTATGTCCAGCAGTGGAACGCATAATAATTTGATAGCGATGATGAGTATGACCTCAAAACTTGTTGTTAGTCTATAATGCGTTCTTCGCGCGCTTCCTCTGAAGGCATTTATTATTTTTTCGCATATGAGCTTATATTTCATTTTCTGCGAACACGTGTCGTTCAAAGCGAATGGGAATAGGTACACGTATTTAATATCGTTTTCCGTTTGATGTTTAGTTTTACCATTTCCTTAGGTTTTGCGTTATTTGTTTTTTATTATTTATTTAACACATCTTTTGGCAAGTGTTTAGAGAACGCAGAACTTTTAGCTTTGTGCTCAATGGAAGTTTCTTGTATTTTTTATAAAGGCATTAGAAGACGCTGACATTTACCATAGAATTATATTTTATTATAGAGTTACTCATTGTAAGGTGGTCGTGGTTCACGATATTGTTACTTCCGAAACTGTTTGTTGATAATAAACTAATTATGTCACCGTAATAGTAAGTTGTGTTACAATACGAACAATCCGGCCAGAAAATCATCATCAAATACTAAATATAAAGCATACACGCTAACACACTTGGAAACATTGAACATAGGCGTACTTTTATGTTATAATGTAACTTATTTTCCCTTATATAAATTGTTGTGTTACTACACTTACATATAGCAAAAACGGCTGTTTGTCAATAATGAATAATACTGTTATGCGATTTTTCAACAACTGTTATTGTAAAATGCTGTCCGAAAACCTGTAATTCTGCTGTTTTGTAGTTTTGCATACAATATCGTGAATGAATATTATGTAGTGTAGCCAAATGGTTATATTTCTTACATACATAGATAGACAGATAGAAAACGTTTACATTTTCGAATAAACTTGTAAAATGTAACGTTTGTAGACAAAAATGTAAACAGCACTGATTGTTGGACCTGTTATTTGTAGTTTCTGTTAGTCGCGGATAATGACATCAACAACTTGTTTATAATGAGTTATACATTGCCTAAGAACAATGCATTACATTATCTGCTATTTAATCTCCTTCGGTCGACTAGAAGGTCCGGAGCACTATATTCTTATGTCGTGGATATTCCACCTATTCGCACTAAGCGCTTTGCCTCCTCCTTTCTGATGCGTACGGCAAAGGAATGGAATGTTCTACCGGCATCTGTATTTCCCGAAAAGTACAATTTGGGGCTAGAGTGAATAGGCATTTTTTAGACAAACGCGACCCATCGTCGGTCACATCGTCGCTTAACATCAGGTGTGATTGTGCCCAAGGGTGTGTCTATTATATATTAAAAAAAACTTCGCCAATCCCGTGGGTCTTGAACCCATGACAGTGTAGCATTGCTCTCACCATCTGAACCATTTATTACTATCATGATTACTTTACAATATTGTAGATAGGATATTTTGCTTCACGTAGTAATGCTGTATTAAAAGACTTTAAACAATCGAGCCAACCGAATGTGTAAAGAAATACCTGAATTTTTATGATATCTATTATATTATATATACTACTATATTAATACCTTTTAAGCAACATAATATCTTAAAGCAACATCATGACATTTTTCATTTAAGTTTAGGAACAAGCTTTCCCTTCTTGTCGCATAGCCGTGGCACAATCTGTATACCACTTTGAAAACTTTTATGTAAATTATATTACTCACATTGCCTGCTAACAGTGGCTCTTTTTCCGAGCACGCGACGACTCTTCTGCCGAATTGTCACGACGATAACGCCGTAGCACGCAGAGATCGTGAGCGCGGGGCTCACGAACAGAGACACGAAAATGCAAGTCACCCATATTTTCCATTGCAGGTTGCTGAGGTTTGCCCAGCATTGGGCGGTACCTGGTCGGATAACGATGATTATAATAATGAGGATAAAACTGATGTAAGGGCTTTTTAAAGGCGGCTTCCCACGGCCCGTGTTTCCACTTGGGAAGCCAGTATAATGGCTCGTTTACACCAAGTCGTCAGGCGAACTTCGCTGGCCCGCCGGAGGCGACAAGCTACCCGATGTCAATAGTGAGTCATCTGACGACGGTAGTTTGCAGCCGAAGAGGCCTAAACTACTTTATGCGTCGCCTTTGGCAAGGCGAGTAGTCTGCCGAAGGTCGGGTGATAACCCGGTGTGCATGCGCCATACGAGAGCCACCACAAGGTTATTCTTAAAAACAATTTCATACTTCTAATGAAACTTACTTAGGTACCATAGGTTACAGCTAAAGCTATGCAAGTTATGAAGTTCATGGTTAGAAATGTATGCTTTCTGTCATAAGAATGCTTTATTCTAAGCAGTTTTAAAAAGATAGCTTGCACAACCAGAAGGTATTATATATGATATATATGAATAGTGTGTGGTAGAGGTGGAGAAATATTTTGTACGATATTTAAACATTTATCTTTTTGAAAGAAAATATAGCCCCCTGACGTATTTATTACGGAATAAGAAATAAAATTTCACTGAATATTTCTAATACATAATATATTTATAATACACCAATTAGCTGGTCTCAAACTGGGGTATCCCCTGTATTACGAGTAGCAGAGCAACGGAATTCGTTCTGGGGCACTACATGGCTACTACCCAGAACACTCAGACCAGAACCAATTTAGAAAAGTTCATATCCCAAATTGGTCCTACCGGGAATTGAACCCGGGACATCTACATCCAATGCCCACAATGTAAGCAATGGGCCGTCAAGGTCATCAATGCATTAGTAAACATAGTACTTGATGGGACTCTATTATATGATTCTACAAATAACTAAATCTTGATGAAGTGGCGTAGAAAAGAAAATTTTAAAAAAAAGTTTCACTCACCTTCAACGTCCTGTGCATCGAATAGCACAAGCATAGGGGAGCAGAAAAAGAAGCTAAGTAGCCACGCCGCTATGATGAGTGCCCGAGCTCGACGCCCTGTTCAAGATAATCCATAAGAAGATAATCGAAAATTGATTGATTACATATGATACTTGTATGTCTTTTTATTAATAGATGTGAAATAACATATATATCATAAATGCTGCGCTTGTTTTAAATATTTTTTTCATGCAGCCAATTTTAACCCACAAAAGAATTATAAAATAAATAACACAAACGCAACTACAGTCACAATCACCGTCACCAAAAATATACTCGACATACATTTCACATCTCTACAGGTGCATACAGATTTGCTCGATTTTTCGATCTATCAATCTATATATTATCTAATAATCTACAAAAAATACGCTGTCGAGCGTCTGCTTTTTACACATTACATGATTTAGTCTGTTCACACATGCTTATCAACAAAAAATACAATATCATGCGTCTGTTGCTTAAAAATTTATTACCACCATAACTATTTAGTAATCTGAGTATTACTGCGTTTCGGTTTCGAAGGGCAAGCTCATACAAAAAAGCTTATCTGTAAGCTTCATAGCTGGGAGTTTGTTTCGCTCATGGTCTCCAGAGAATTAAGGTTTCTACTATAATACGGCACAAAACTGCATCACTGGCTTGCGAAGATAATTGCACGTAAATTTATGTTGGTTATCTCAGTATTTTAAATACTTACAAGTAATATTAAAAATGTAAATGCGATATTGTGAACTAAGTTTAAGACTTACAGCTTCCAGTAAAATTCATTGGATGCGTAATGGCGTCGCAGCGGTCCACACTTAGAGCTACCAGCACGTAAGTTGATGAATATGTAACTACACCCTGGAACAAAATTGTTATTAAAATAACCATTATACATTATGGATATGGATTGGATGGATTTATGGAATAGAATATAGATCCATGTAGATTCTACTAAGGTTATCGTAATAAGGCCTAATTCCATTTCAGTATTCCGGCAGTTTGGATTATAATATCCCTAGAGATAGTGTAAGTTTATTCAACTCAGGCATTTCCATCTCGCAACTTAGTTCTATTCAGATCATTCGCAACTTCTCGCGATTACTTCCAATCTCCGTGTTGGACACTTCATATAAAGTTATTCTCTATCGGGAGCACTGTTGTTGGTACTCTTTGTCACATTCTCTTTTTAGCTTCGATTATTTTCAGCATAAAACTGTTCATTCAGATGATTCAGAAAGTCATTTTTGAACTTTTTTTTTATATTTTACTAAAATATTGTATTGATTCTCTTTTGAGGGTTACTGATTGGAATCTTTTAAAATTTGCAATCACACGTTCGTGTAACGCGCGATTGCATCGCTATACTTGCGATTTATAGGCGATTGCATCGATGCAAACGCGCGACTACATCGATACAAACGCGCGATTACATCGATGCAATCGTCTATAAATCATAAAAATAAAATTAGAACTGCCACCTTACCTATTTCTGCCGCCAAGCAGTAATGTCACCATCCTGTTTTGAAGGCTAACGGTGCTGGTGAAATTAGAGGCACATGGGACTTGTCAACTTATATCTCACTGCAACTGTTATGGACAGGCGTGTAGCTTACCATCAGGCGCACGACTTGTTCGTCCCGTCACGTGATGTTATTAAAAAAATCCAAGTGTAGCGATGCATTCGCGCGTTTGCATCGCTGCTTGAAATCGCCGTATATAACAACACTTAGTGTTGAATTTTATCAAAGAGTGTCAGTACCGTAGTATCGTGGACAGACGTGACAGTCTATATCTGTTGGGAATAAGCTAGGCAGGCAGATGATAATATTGAGTGTTTACGAATGATATCTATAGTCGGGCAATTAATGTAAAGCCCCTGGCAAAGTCGCTATTACTTGCATTGCACAATACATTTCTTTTTGCTTTGACCCAGCGAGCTTCCGCTTAAATGTGTAAGTGGGGTAAAGCGGCAGATATACAAACCATATTTGTGTTGCAAAAACGAGCGATTCGTTCTGTGTACCGCTTAGGTTCTCGGGTTTCTCTCAGAGAAAAGTTTCAGGAAACTGGTATCATGATATGACATCACAGTACATTTACTCAAATATTTTATATGCCCGTAAAAATATACATAATTTCAATAAGAAAGAAGATATTCAAAATATTAACCTTAGAGCGAAGTCCAAACTCATGGTACCACGATTTCGTGTAACAAAGGTAAACGACTCTTTTATTGGGAACTGTATACGTTTTTACAATAAGATTCCGGAGCATATATTAAGTTTATCATTTCCTAAGTTTAAAAACCACAATAAAAATATTTTGATTGAAAAGTCATATTACTAAATTGAAGAGTATGTTTTAAATGGACAGACAACGAGGGTCTAGATTCCACACAATTATAATTCACAGTGTATTCCATAGCATTTAAATTTATTTGAAAAGAGCAATCCCTAAAGTTTCATTCTTACTCGTTCTTCTCAGGGAGGTCAGCGTAGTGAACGAGCAGTAACTTAAAAAATGACGTTTTCAAGTGTAAAAATTTTATTTTTCTTGACTTTGATTTTGACTTTGAGTAAAACAAAAAAACTGTCGAGGTGTTGAAATGATTGATGTTCTGTTATGTATGTACTTATCGAAAACGTTAAGATCTTTAGACCATGCACCTAGACCTTTTTATATTTTTTTAAATTTATAATATGGTAACCATAGTAACTATTTTATTCATATTATCGCTACTCTGTTATTGTATAGTCAGAACACTCTGCTGCTTATCAATATATGATATTGAAGTATTGTGTCTTCACCGCACATCAGTGATACTCAGTGTCTGGGACGCCGCACCTAGTAGGGGAGCGGGGGGCTAGTTGTAACAGGGGCAAGTAGTAACAAGCATTTTTTACCTACATAATAGAAGAATATTCATTTGATTTTCAACCCAATGTACTACTTAATACGCAATGTATCATCTAAGCGCGGTCAGTATCCCGCCGGCCGGCGCAGGAACCGGTGTTGTGCAGGCGCTCCGAAAAAGCCAGGTAACGGACTTTTTTTTGTTTATACGAAATTGACTAGCATAAAATTCATATTGTTTAGCAGTTTTTGTTTAATAAAAATACATTTTGAATTTGTTTAGTTTCATTATAATTAATTTTAATTTTATAACAATTGAGCGGTTTTTTTTTAAGAGATGTTATTTTAAAAAACTTTCCTATGGGGTATGTTGTAACAGTTTTACGGGGCTAGTTGTAACATGTTACAACTTACCCCTTATGTATTTATTAGTTATGAAATTTCGCGGACGTACTTAAATTTATTCTTTTAGTATTTTGAATAGTTTTTCGTTTAACTTCGTTAATTTTATTTCAGAATGAGACACTACAAAAGAAAATCTACACGTGCTACCCAAAGTCAAGATGTTTACGAATTGGCCTCTGCTGAAGTCATAGAAAATAAAATCAGTGTACGAAAAGCCGCAAAAACTTTTAATTTATGTCATGTATCGTTATATAGATATGTGAAAAAGAAGAAGAGTAACAAATCTTTATCAGTCGGCTATGTCAAACCCAGATTGGTTTTTCAAGAAGAAGAAGAAGCTAAAATATCTGAGTACTTGCTTACTTGCTCTAACATTTACTTTGGATTGCTTCCTTTGGAAGTCAGAAAGTTAGCATACCAGTGTGCTATTATGATTAAAGCGAAAAACATACCTCCTTCATGGTGTGAAAATGAATCAGCTGGACCAGATTGGTTTAAAAATTTTATGAAAAGGAATCTAAGACTATCTCTAAGAACCCCTGAAGCTACATCTCTAAGCCGCGCAACATCATTCAATAAAAACAACGTTGAAAAATTTTTTACGAAGCTTACAAATGTTATGGATAAATATCAATTCACACCATCTAGAATATATAATATTGATGAAACAGGAGTAACCACAGTCCACAAACCAAAGAAAATTGTGGCTCCACGAGGACAAAAACAGGTAGGAGCTATTACTTCTGCTGAAAGGGGTACCCTTGTAACTCTTGCATGTGCTGTAAATGCCTCAGGAAATTCCATTCCGCCTATGTTTGTGTTTCCAAGGCTCAGATACACTGATATTTTTGTAAGATGTGGACCACCAGATAGTATAGGAGCCGGAAATTTGTCAGGGTGGATGACCGAAAAAGAATTCATTTTATTCCTGGATCATTTCATCAAGTTTGTCAAACCATCGGAGCAAGAACCTGTCCTCCTATTACTAGACAATCATCATTCACACGTAAATATCGCAGTAGTGAAAAAAGCGAAAGAAAATCACGTTATCATGCTATCGTTTCCCCCCACTGTTCACATAATCTACAGCCGTTGGATGTTGGTGTTTATGGTCCGTTTAAGAATTACTTAAGCCGAACACAGACAGCATGGATGCATAACAACCCAGGGAAAACGATGACTATTTATGACATTCCTGGAGTCGTCAAAGATTCTTTGCCATTAGCAATGAATTCTTCAAATATAATGAATGGCTTTAGAGCCACAGGCGTATGGCCTCTAAATACAGATATTTTCAAAGATTCAGATTTTGCCCCATCTTTTGTTACTGATAGGCCAAATCCTGCAAACAATGAATCAGAAACAGATGTAAACATTACTACCTCTAGCTTGACAACAAATCTTCCGAATATAGATTGTTCATTAAATAATTGTTTTTTAGATATAAGTGTAAGTGAAATCATAAGTTCTATGGAAAAGTATGACCCAACAACTTCAAATTTAACAAGAACCGAGGATACTTTACTTACAACAAACTTACCTGGAAGTCAATCTGACTTAGAGCCAACACCTGGGCCTTCTGGTCTTCAACAGCGAAATGATTTCTCTCCGTCTAAAATAAGACCTTACCCGAAAGCTCCACCACGAAAATTGACTAACCGCCCTCAACGTAAAAGAAAATGCTGTGTTCTTACAGACACGCCAGAGAAGAACGAGTTAGAAAAAGAATATGAAGAAAAGCTAGATAAGATTAAGAAAACACAACAGACTAAGAAAGGCAAAGGAAAAGGCAAAAAATCGATGACTAAAGATTGCGAAGAAAATGATAAGATAAAGATAAATAAAAGACAAGGGATATCAAAAGTAAAAAAGAAAGTCTTAAAGTCTGATTCGGAATCTGAACCCGAGGAATGGTTTTGTTTAGCTTGTGGGGAAGCTTATGAGAATTCAAACGAGGAGTGGATACAATGCATAATGTGCAAGATGTGGGCACATGTGAAGTGTGCAACAGGAAATAAGATCTCATTTGTGTGTCTCAATTGTGATTCCGATGAAGATTGATTTCATATTTTATCTACCTCAATCATAAGACTGATTAATAAACAAAAAATATATTGTTATTGAAAACGATTGTGAGCTTAAAGTTCCTATTTAGTTTAAGAGAAAATATGTTTCTGTTAGTATTTTTCTATTAGATTAAGAATAAAACATAAAGTTTAAGTTTGTTATAACAAAATAATGAAAAGTCTGATTACTGTAGTAGTTGAAATTATGTTTAGTTAAGATATACATGACTGTAAGTCTTAAATTTCTAATTAGTTTAAGTAACGAAAGAACATATATTATTTGATAATTTATAATATTTTTCTGTTCAATTGAACATTTAAAACCTGTTAAGTGTCTGAAGTTTTTTTATGTCAAATAAATCTTTATAAAATGTAAAACTGGTTTTCAATTCCTAATGTTACAATTTGCCCCCAGCTCGTTACAACTAGCCCCAATCACGGGGTAAGTTGTAACACCCGCCAGTTTTTTTTCAAAAACGTTTTTACAAAAAGTCTTGACAGTTTTGATTAAAATTTTCTTTGAAATTGATAGATGCATAGTTGTTAATTGGAATAGTATTGCTAGATTTCCTGAATACTGAACAAGTAAGTTTTCATAGCCAAGAAACCAAAAATTGTTACAACTAGCCCCCCGCTCCCCTACTCGAGTACATAGATATCGTTGTGAAAAAACTATATTTTCTCAAGATTTTTTTTATCAAAAATAAGTGCGCATTAGTCCTCCATCGCTTCTTGCGAATCCTGGGAATATCCACAACATAGGAGTGGAATCCTAGCCCGCGCTTAGTCCTCCGATGATGGAAAGGGAAGGCGGAATCAAATTATGCAATTCCATCGCACACTCTCCGTGATATATCCTGTAGAATACCGATAAGCAGGCAACTTTACGGCGGTGTTCAAGGCTCTGCATCTTCGCCTCAACTAATTCCGAGTCACTTATAAGCCTTTTGGCACGCTTGTCGATTGAATCCAAGGTGGCCAGTTGGTATTTAGCAGAGCCATCCCATAAGTGACAACAGTACTCCATACAGGACCGAACTTATGCTTGGTACAGCTGAAGCAACTGTCCCGGTGTGAAGTAACGCCTCGCCTTGGGAAGGATGCCAAGCTTCCTGGCTGCATTTTTGGCCATGGATTCAGTGTATCTGCCGAAGTTCAGATTGGACGACAGGTCCATTCCAAGTACCTGGAGACGGGCTTTATGATAAACTTTCAATAAATTCTTAAGTCAGGGTGCTCATAAACGAGATGTAACTAAAGCGTGTCAGATACAGTAACAGTAACAGTCTTCACTCGTTTGAATGAGTACCTGGTTATCGTCGGCTCACTGCGAACCGCATGCGTTCTTCTCGCGGCAAGCTCGCGAACCGCGTACACACTGATGATTTTTTTTGCAATGATTACATCTCGCTAGTAAGTACCCGGCTTTAGTATTGCTGATATCGTTAAAAAGTAAACTTTTTTTATCTAATTCTCGTATAATTGTTTTTTCAAACAAACCAAGTGGTCTCTTCACAGGACCCATGGCCACGATTAGCTGAATTGGTATTAGTCATCAGCCAAATATGTTTAAGTGGTTTAATATGATAACCACTCTATTCTGAACTATAGTCACACTAACAATTGATTTAACTACCATGTTAGTGACGCGAGTTAAGTTTAAGTTGTTCAGTATTGTCGGAAAGGTGTCGTTGGTGAGGTCTCTCCAAAACCTTTCCAATGGAGTGTAGAACAAAGGGGGAAGCGGTACAAAAAAATTAGAAAAATGTAAAAAAATAGATTTTTTTAATACGAACGTTTTAACTTTTTCAAATATTTAGTATATGAGGGATAGCGCGAATGCGCGCAGGCCCTCAGACGAAAGACAACAATTAATTAAACAAGTTTTTCATTTCCACTGATTACATACTTTATTTTTAATTTACCAAAGCGCATACACGAAACTCTACATACGATTTGCAAAATATTTCAATAATATGTATTTTTCACTAAATCAAATCTATTCACTATTGTCTGTTCTGTAGTCTTGTTATACGTCTGCCATTGACTTACAATTATATGGCCGTCGGGTCCGCGCTAAAAAGTGTCCGAACTTATAGGGCGTTAAAATCGTATACAGAGCGTCATTCACGCTCTAGTCTTCGTTTGTTCGACTGACAGCGAAGCAAGCAAAATTAGACAGTACTGCGATGACATTACAATTTAAATCTAACGTTTTAGCTTTTTCATATTCCTTGACATGTCACTACGTTTAAATAGGTTGACTTGGGACATTTTTTTCGTGGTTTTTGTATTAGACCCGTCGTCCATTTATTTGTAAGTCAATGATGTCTGCTAATGTTATTTCTAATACCATTTGTTTTTGTTGCCCAATAGAAAACACTGTGGGAGCGTGACTGCTCCTTACTTCGTAGTATAAAGTTTATTTCCTATTAAAATCTTACCTTGTCATAAAAGATGTTATTTTATAATTAATTGAAAATACATTTTAATTGTGAAATAAAATACCTGTAAATATTTAACGAGTTTGCAGGTCACTGACCCCGCAAGCCACGTTATTGTGATCCGTATGATTAGATCTGGCAGCACTGATAGGAATCCCACAAGTAAATCTGGAACAAAATTTAATAATATTAATATTAAATAATTTAAATTAATATTTTTTGTTATTACATTACTTTTTCATAATATTCTTTGTATTAAACATTAGAAACTAAATTTAGTTTCCGATCTAAAATCTCGTATATTTGTTATTTGAAACAAATGAGTCAGTCGTGACCTATAAAGTGCCCGAAACGTTAGGTTGTTTGAAAAAATAAATGTACGCTAAAAAATATATACACTATTAAAAAATGTATTATTTCTTTGTTCAATTAAAAAATCTTAATTGAATTGACCAAAAATTAAAATAAAGTTTTTTTTTTATTTTTTAAAAAAGCAAAACAAAATAAATATAACGGTTTAAATCAAATCAAAGTATAACAATCAATCAATCCACTGGATATAGTATTAGTAGGAAGTTAAAACAATAGACAGAGAAAAAAATATAGTTTATTTTGAAATTAAACCTAAATAAAAAAGTAACCCGATCAATCTTTTGAAATCAAAACGTCACGTATTGTTTTGGGATTTTTACTATTATTCTGCAAAATGCTGCTGTGTCTTGTTGCATTGCCAAAGCTTTCGCGAAAAGCTCTCGAAACTGAACATGAAAAGAACTCGATATGTATAAAGATAGTGGTAGTAGAATAGTTTAAATAAATAAATATTAAAAATATGAGACACCATCACATACGTTCATTGCAAAGGACTACAGCACTAGGGATGCACGATATTTTGCTTTGAATCGATTTTTTGGATCGTAACGGATCATATGCCTCTGAATCGATCCACAGATCGGATCATATGCTCTTGACTCGATCTCATAAAAATCTTTCAAAATTAATTTCGTTAAAAAAAAATTTGCCAGCCTTTTGGCTTCAGTCGGTTACTACTTTCATTTAGATACTAGCCAGTGCCAAGGCACAGAAGTAGCGACAATCGCCAAATATTGTAGACTTAATGTGTAGGTACTTAGATGTTGCCAAAGCGCTTTTCTTGCAGGCCAATACAAAATAGGGGTTCAGAAAAAGACTGTTTTGTTTAAATTGTGAATACGATCTAGACGATTCGATTCGTCTTAATGTTGAATCAATTTACTTAAACATCGCATTGAAATGAATCGATACAAAAGACCGCATCGAATCGTAATGTGCATTCCTATAAAATACTAACTCTTTCTTGGCTTGTTAAATAACTAAAATTATATTATGGAAATCGAATAAAACGAAGGTACCATAAACACCCGAGTCTATATAGATTTAGTTTGCTACATTTACCCGGCCAGGAATCGAACGCGGCATCATGAAAACTGGTGTGCAAGCCACTCGACGATGGAGGTCGACAAAACTTGCACTATAGGCACTGGATAAGGAGATCCCGGGTTCGATTCTCCAAGAACCAATTTGGGAAATTAACTTTTCCAAATTTATTCAGGTCTGGATGATCTGGGTAGCATCTTGGAGTGAATTCCGAATACTTTGGCACTCTCATAGTACAGAGCATCCCCTAGTCAAGGTAATTGGTGTTTGTCTGGCTCATATTATGTAAGAAAAAACTGACAAGCATTTAGCCAAGGTAAGAATTTACATAATCAATATTACGAGCGAAAGAAAAAAAAGAACTGCAACGCAAGGAACAAAGAAGCTTAGCCCTATAGATGTGGTTATTGTGATGATATTGTAGCTCTAAATAAGATTTTTAATGTTAAAATTAATAGATAACTTCATCTCACCAGCGATAGCGAGTTGCATAATGAAGAAGTTCATCCGGCTCTTCCTTGACTTGTTGAGCAATAGCGCCAGCACCACGGTCGCGTTGCCCGCCACGATTGCCACCAGCAACACCCATAGGATCGCCACTTGGGCTGTCTATAAAAAAAAAGATACTTATCTACATTCTTTAATCATTATCAATCGTCGTTTTAACCGGCTAGCACAACGAGTGTAACCTTTTTACTTTTTGTTTTTGCATTAACTATTACGCAATTTTGTAACAATTATTTTTGTATTTGATGATCGTCATTATTATTAATGATTATATTATCATCACCATCATAATCCTCAACCCAACTTTATTCACAGGAACAGGCTTCCCGTAGTTTGTGCCGTACGTTTTGTCCATCTACGGCCCGCGACTTTGATGCTATCGTCAACCTATCTCTCGGCAATTCGTCCTACATATAAGTAACCGCCTTTTGG